CCCCCCACCCCATATCTCTGTACATATTCTCATTGCACGGACTGACCATACATCGGTGTACATTCCCAGGTGGAAAAGCGCGGAGAAATAAAAGACTTGTTTGCCAAAAAGTACCGGGCTGTGTCTATCATATTGTTCGCCTCCTGGTGAGTAAATTTTCTTTCTTTGCTATCGTTCTGTTCTCTTCTTAATGAATAAATATGGGTGTATATCATTGTTTTTCCTCTCCGTCTAGAGAGATACTGCACTTTTACTTTTTCATTCTCTACTGCCGTTGAGCGACAAAGAAAGATGCGGTTTTCTATGATCGGCCAACTGTGCAGCCCTTTCAACTGAGACGCAGTTTTTCACGGTATCTGGCCTTCATCAACCCATCCATCGTTGTGTGTGGCCTACCTCTGCCTTTCCTGCCTTAGTACTTGTTTTGTAGGCTCTCTGAGACGGTGATTTTTCTAACAGGTTGCAAAAACACTTTGTTATCTGTTTATAAAATAAAATACAAGCAGGAATGTGCGCGAACAGTTGCTCTTACATCTTCATTTCTCTGCTTGTCTCTTCTTGTGGTACTATCGTTTTGGAGAGACATTAACATTCATCTCGACTGCAATGATTTTACTTTCATGGTCTTTACTTAATACCCAGGTCTGGCATTGGAAGAAAAACTGAAGTGTCTATACAGATGTTTGGATGAGATAGAAGGGGTGCGAGCTGATAGGCGCAAGTGTTAGCTTTTTTTGTCCGTATTTCTATTTCTTTGATACTCCTGATGTTACTTCTAACCATTCTGTGCTACCTTCTTTTGTTCTTTTGTGTATAGAGCTCTAACATTGTCCAACAATTGTCCTCTGATACCATATAGCTCAATACGTGTTTCCCATAGACCGACGGTTACATAAAAATGATTAAATGAACTATTGTTAACAAGAACAATGACTAAACTTGCTAGATAAACAGTATTCTGAAGGCATTCCGATGACAGTCTGATAATACACTCTTTAAAGATTGTAATATACTTATGTCTGCCTTTTTTCCTTTGCCTGCTTCTTTGTTCCCCGTCGCTACCACTCTGCTCCACATTGACTTTAAATTGGTCTTTTTACTGTTAGGAGATTTATCTTTACCATTTATATCCAAGCAACAGAAATAGAAGCACTATGAAAATGGAACAATGGAACGTATTGTAACGTTTGGTAAACCGGAATGAAGGGTACACGGGTGGGCTTTTATCAATGGAAGAATGTTGAGACCTACTGCCTTTTTATCACATTGGTCACTGTCCGACATTGACCTGGACGAACTTTGACGTATTCAGTTTAGCCAGTGTTTCACCTTTTTCCTCAGGTTTTCCGTAGGGTTTTGTTACTTCGGTATTGCCCTGCTGGTGCCCACATTGTTTACCAATCCTGATGGTTGCCATGGTAAGTTCACCGATATTTTTAGATGGCTGTTCATCCTCCTCCTCCTCCTCCCTCTCATCATCATCATCATCATCATCATCATCATCATCATCATCATCATCATCATAATCATCATCATCATCATCATCATCATCGTCATCATCATCATCATCATCATCATCAACATCACCATCATCATCATTATAAGTAGTAGTAGTAGTAGTCGTAGTAGTAGTAGTAGTAGTAGTAGTAGTAGTAGTAGTA